GTTTAGAATTGCACCTACTTAAATATATGACCTTGAAATTTGCTTAACTCTGTTCTTAAGTACAAATATTGAAATAGCAAAAAACACGTCACCTTCGATTTGGCTCATTTTCATATATTTTATTGCCTACCATATTCTTAACAACCTGTGAAAAAATTAGAGTGGGCCATTCATAAGTTTTGAAGAAAATTGCACATATGCAAACGTATGTTAGCACGCGCAGTGGAGGGGGAAGAACGAATTTCGCCCACCCCTCCTGTTTTTCGCCAATATATCATAAGATTAATGCGAAATTAATCATGGCTACCTGTCAAGAATTGAATTGGACATCTCATCGTGCAAGCAATAAGAAAATCGGTTCACAACTGTTCTAGTAATAGCGGTGTAAAGTGAACATCCTGTCGCCGCAGCAACGCGGCGGCTCGGCAGCCGGCGCCGACCGCTACGCGCCGCCTGAATTGTAGACTGTGCCGGGACGGAACGGAACGGTTCCGTCTTTACATCGCGCTCCCTACCGCTGATTACGTTCGATTCGCGTCAAATTTTGTGAGAAGACTGAGAAATATACAGGCAATCTTATGGTGAAAGAATTTTGAAAATCGGTTGGTAAACAATTGAAATATGAACGTGTAAACACAAAATTGTGATTGCTGCGTTTCCCGCATCGGCCGAGCCCGCCTCAGCCGGCGACATGTTACTCTTAGCAGGCCTCTATAACTGCCATATTTATTATTGGATTAACTAGAAATTCCCCATACATATTAAAAAATGTATGTTCTTTCGTATAGTGGAGATCAAAAGACGTGAAGATATCGTTGCGCGATAATGTTTTCGTTGAATTTACTTCATGATGCATTTCCACATGGCTCAAAATTCACCGCAAAATACCGTTTGCCTGAGACACTTTTACTATGGAACGTGAATGCTTGACTACGATGACTATGCATTTCCATTCTCGCAGAGTTTGGGATATCACTAATCAGCAATCATTCATTTCAGAAAGTGTACACAAGTAAGCATGTCTTGACTCTGTCTTTCAAGGTCACGCGCGGTTGCGTGATGTTGATGCATGAAAACGGCGTTTGCCGCGAAAGTTATGAATGGCCCACTCCAATTTTTTCACAGATGGTTAGGAACATTGTGACGGACATAATATGTAAAAATTACCCAAATCGAAGGTGACGTGTTTTTTGCTATTTAAATTTTTCTGTTTTAATTCAAGGTCAAATGCATTTCAAGGTCACTTCAATTTGATTTTATAATTAAAAATCAAAGCCTTATCAATTGCCTATAAGACCCTGTTAATATCATTTTGATACCAGAAAAGGAACCAGAGTTATAGCCATTTAAAAAATCGATGTGTGGCATTTTTCGCTATATTCGATGACCTATATCTCAGCGATACGTTATCAAATTTTGAAAATATTATACGTAACTCAGTTTTGAACCATGCCCAGTCTGCCTACAAATTTTCAGAAAAATCGAAGGGGATGACGGATTTCGGTGTTTGATTTGACGTGGAATGCCCCAGGAGCTACCCACTGACCGTTTTCAGCCCAGATCAGGCGGTTGAAGGCGTGGAGGAGAAGGATTTCACTAACCTGAGGATGGAAACGACGCAACGGAGGGACAGTCCAACTAGGCGTGATGAAGAACAAGGATCTGACCATCCTGAGGATGGAAAATCACCGAACGGTGTGAACTGTGACCCCTCAAAGTGATGGTGGCGGGCACTTATCAGCAGGTAATGAAGTTCTCCGGGAGGCGGGAGCCCATGCGGTCTAACGACCGTACGACTCCACAGTACTTTCAAGATGTTCCTACGCTGCCGAACTGATAAGGGAAGGATCGAGGTCGACGAGGCTTACACAACTACCACACCTCAAAAGAGAAGTCCCATGCAATCATGGTGCTGGATGGGCGGCCAACTCCACCAACCACCGATAGGTGGCAGTGTTGTAGCCCGATTGCCCCCTGTTAATACGCAACCGAAGTGTGACGTCATGACTACTGGCTGGGGCATAATCAGCTGACGGCCCTGTGTTAAAGCAATGGGACGAAATTTTATCAGCATTTTTAGAACAAACTGGACCTAGTTAGATAGTTTGGGGGCCAGTTTCTAGGTAAACTGAGTATATTCTGTTTTTCTACGCCCAAAAAAATGCTATGTTTCAAAGCGGAAAGGACCGAATTTCGCGAAATTGTTACGGGCGGCGAACTTGACGCACCAAATACATGAACTTGAGATGCGAACTGTGACCGCGTCGGGAGGATTTTGATGCGTAAGGTTTGACATATTTGAGTTTAAGCTGGATAAATAATTTTTATTCGTAAAAAGCAAAGGAGAAAATTCACCATATAGGTTATTTTGAAAATCTTTTTTATTTTAAATCCATTATTTTAAACCTCTTGATCTGAAATGTTTTGTATTTCTGCGTCAACTTCGCCGCCAATTAGGTTTTTACGAAATTTTGTGCTTTGCGTTGTTAGATTTTGCAATATTTTTTTCATAGAAAAATAGATCATACATCGTTGTCCTAAATTCAGCTACTAAAACTATCTAACTAGGTCCAGTTTTCTTGGGAAAGATCGGCAAAATATTGCCCCATTGCTTTAGCACGGGGCCGTCAGCTGATTATGCCCCGGCCACTTATCGTGACGTCACGACTTCGGTTGCGTATAGATATCCCGCCGACGTCCTGTAGGTGGCAGTGGTGTAGCCCGCTAGAAGTCGCTGCTGGTCAATCTACCTAAGTCATGCCCTTTGACCCATGTTTAATTATTCATGTTTGTTGTTGACAAAAAGGTTTCCAGATAAGAAAAGTACTCTTATAATTTTGGAGTATCCGGACTAATTAATTGGACCTGTGGACTTGTGTTCTGAGGATCATGGGTTTCTTGGTCTGTTGGTCCCAGGCTTACACTTTGAAGCTTAACTTCATATACGGCTCATAGAGGGCAGAGTTGTGCAGCACAAAATTCTATGCTGAGTTTTTAGAAAATATGCCAACACGTTTTTCATAGGATGTAAGTTAACATTAATTTCATGGGGATCAATACTTGATGAATTTGTAAATGCAAAATGCGCTGATAACGCTTTGTATCAGCTTAAGGCTATCCAATAAACTTCTACTTGGAAAAAGGTACTCCTCAGTCACTACGGGATATATACGGAAAATTGGGCGGCGAAAACCACCTATCCGTGCTTCTAACCTCAGAATACTGAAATCCTTCTCCTCCACGCCGCAACCCCCCTCCGGGCTGGACAGGCAACTTTATCTCATGCGGACTGCTCCCTTGGAGCGGCACCGCTGCTCCTGAGGGAGCGCATCCCGTAGCCGGGTGCAGTGAGTGCCTTGGGGCTGGGTGGCCTGTCTTCGGACGGGCTCAGCCCCGGCGACTCACTAGGGTGCCTGCCCAGACCAATGTCTCCCCCTAATTCCTATCATCCTTCCGGCTCTGCAATGGTCTTGTCGACCGAAAGGGCCTAACCCAACAAAACAAAAAACGGCGAAATTCATACTTACCTGGCTCAGGGGATACCGTGATCATGAAGGCGGTTCCCCCAGGGCGAGGCCCTTCCATTGCATTTCGGTTGGGTTGACCCCTGCGATTATCCCAAATGTGGATAACTCGGGAGTACAATTTTTGTTAGCGGGGTAGGTTGCGTTCGCGCTCCAACCCTTTCTAATACATTGAAATGGTCAAGTGTAAACGATCAGTATAAAGGAGTGGTAGCGATGTTGCGCTCAAACCAGTAGATTTGTGCATTATGTGGGCCAATGTATACGTGCGTAAGCGACCTCCGCGAGATTCCGAAGTGTGTGTTTTCGTATTCGTTTCGTACGTATTGCAAGAGTACTCGAATAGTACCAAATTATAGAGCGATAAGTTATTCTATCGCACGACCGTACTTTCAAGACTACCCAACACTTACTGGTGAAACTGGCCTTTGCGGGGGTGTCCCAAGTCACCTACACCTACTAGATGGGGACCTACGTTGGGGATTTGCTTTACGTGACTTGCCGAGCTGTCCGTACCTACATGCTTTCAAAACCTACTGTGTTTGTTAACTAGCGTCTTCGACTCTTCGTACTCATCAACACACCCATCGTTCAACAGACGCGAGCCGCCCCAGTCCCGCTCCGCCGAGATACCGTACCTCGACCTTCCACGGCCCGGCGGTGCGGTGACCGCCGGCCGACTGCCAGTGCCGCTCCCTCCGCAGGCGCCTCTGTCGGCGGCGGTCCGCTACAGCGCGCAGGGGCGACGCCAGGGACGGTACAGGGGAGGTCAGTATGGTTGAAGGGTAAGACAGGGCATTGTTTTTTTACAACTGAAATACGTTGACTTTGCAGTTTTATGATATATTTCAGATTATCACGAAGAGACGAGGAAAGGGATGCCCCTATCACCACCTTCGTAGCCACGCCTGCGGATACCGAGTGGATGGCTTGGTGAGCGGCAGGTTGAGTAAGCTGTGGTTTCAACTACACTCGTTAAATGGGGTAAATCGATGGGGCCTTAATTTCGGGGAGATATGGTGGTTACTGAGTAGACAAGTGAAAGGTTTTCTTAGCTATTTAATTTGTGGAAAGAGATTGCTTCATTTGAGGATATGATCGTCCACTTCTTGCTAAGGACAATACAGATTCAGCTGTACTGGCCACAATCGAGCTGAAACTAACAATGAGGACCTAACCAGTACATGATACCTGCTGAAAATTCGCCCCCGAACGTATCTCTGGTTTCCCTTCAAAACGTACAAATCTTTCGCCTTTTACTAAAGATTTCCGTGGAGGGGAACACTCAAATGAGTATTCGCCGAATTTCTTACGGCCACCACAATGGTGGCCTACTAATGCACTAATGATTTGAATCGTGGCGGTAGGGGAGGAAGTGAACATTCTATTCATATATTGCCGCTAGTAGCTTTAGACGTTGACATGTTTTTATCTTGGTAGGGTAGAGGATCTTCGGGTGTGATAAGTGATGATTTATATTGGTATTTGTTGTTGAAACTTGAAACCCCGTCACGGGTACTCTACACACTACACGTTGGAGTTGGGGGTCAGGCTGGCGAAACGCACCCCGTGACGTCGATGACATCGTAGATGGGTACATCACTGATGTGTGTTTCATATTGTTTCAGGTATTATCTATGCGAATGCCAAGATTTCGTCCCGACTCGTACGGCTGAAGAGTGATGCTGAGTGTTCTCCCGTATGCCCGACACCTATGGCTGATCAAAGACGCATTCGCCACACCGTTTGAGGAAGATGTTTATACTGAATGCATGGAGACATATAATTCAGAAAATTATAAATCACGCCGCAAAGATCGTTTCGGGATGTTCACGACGGACATACGCCACGCCGCTTCTGACACAACTCGAGTGGCTGAGCTGTGAGTCTCCATTGCTCGAAAGGGACACTCACTGTCTTCAGGCTGACACACTCGCATCTGGCTCCTGACCATCTGAAACGGCTGCTGACACAGCGTAGCGAGGTGTCAAGACGAAGTACCCGGGCTACGGATGCTGGTCTCCTGCAGCTGCCACGGGTGCGCTCAGAGCGAGCGCGGCGGCACTTCTGTTATAGAGCCGCCAAGAGCTGGAACGAGACCTTGGAGGCTGTCAGGGAGCCAGTAGTTGTCGCCACGTAAGTCGTGCTAGACTGCGATCAGTGTGTTGACTGCATTTAAAGTGTACGACGCGAGGTATTTATGGTCCGTTCGCAGTCACTGCAGTTAACTATCAGTAGCGGCGGAACACCTTCAATTAAGGGGGGGGGGGCACTGCCGACTTTTGGCCCCATTCTTTCCATGCAACGCCCATAGGGCTAATGTTAAAATGCCAAAGTCAAAGGGGGGCACGGTGCCGCGGTGCCCTCCCCGTTCCGCCGCCTATGTTCACTATCGTCTGATCTAATGCAGTGTCAGAAAAGTGGCCCGTTTCTAAGTTTTCTTGAACTCGGAAGATTTGTTCTGCGAAAAATCTTGACTAAAGTAAAGCAATTTTTGTTCTGTGAGCAAACGTTCCCTAAACAGATGGCCAATGATTTTTGTGTAACAATGTACCTCTACCCATCTATGTCAGCACTTAGGCACTATCAGGCTTGATGGAGCATTTCACAATGGGTCACTTAACAAAAACCGAACTGCCTGTATTGTATTGTATTGTATTGTATTGTATTACCTTCATGGACAATCCACGCGGGGCGTGGCGATTACAGTCCAGTAATGACTGCCCACTATGACTGATTTTTCTTCTTCAGCAGATTTAGTCATCTCTCTCCAGTCTCCATGGCTACTGAATGAAGACCTGGACTCCTGAATAGAATGCAGTACAAACTACTGACCTACTCCCAAGAACCAGCACCGCCTGCTACTCTAAGTTCACCAGCTGACAGCTGTTGGCAAAACTTTCACTGGTAACCTTGTCCCTCACAATAACTGGTATTAGATTGGCAGCCTGAAGCCCATCAACTGTGATGTGTTATGAACAGGTGATCTGTGAATGGTGATCACACAGTGTGTGCGTGCATTAACAATTAATCCTGTATTTTTTAATAAAAATGTTGAAAATATTGTCACTCTTTCAACATCTGGTTCAACATGTATGATATGAATGAAGGACTACACAGCATGCAGGAGCTGGAAATGGGCAATGCCCCAATGGATATGCAGACTTAACGTAATCAGGTGAGATAAACCTGAAAAGCTCGATTTCATATCCATATTAGCATGCAGTGCCTACAAAGTAGTGAATGCTTTAAAAAAAAAACTTAGCTGACAGGCAACAGCAGTTCAAGTTAATAACGTAGTCAGGTGAGATAAACCTGAAAAGCTCGATTAATTTACACGTACACTGGTCTGAAAAACAACACTACCAAGCTAGTGAGTAGTAAATGGGCAATGCCCCAAATGGATATGCAAACTTAACGTAGTCAGGTGAGATAAACCTGAAAAGCTCAGCTTGATTAATTTACATGTACACTGTTCTGAGAAATGACACATATACCAAGCTAGTGAGTAGTAAATACTATCAGAAAATTATGGGTACTGGATAAGCATATTACCCATAATACCTATATCAGCACAACCAATCCTACCTTTAAAATCACCTTCTCACACAAATCAAACCAAGGCCCTACATCAATATAGGTACTAAATCACAAAAATAACACGCGAGTCATATAGGAGACGAGTCATGAGTCTTGGCCTTTTGACGTCTAAAACACTGCCATCGCCGCACCAACAAGTTCGCTCTCCACCCGGCTCCCTTCATAATGCAACCGGGCGCAAACTTGTTCTGGATTCTCGCAGACTATATTTGGTGTTTCCGTGGTGGCAGACTATCCCCTGGTAAAAGTTACCAATTGCAGTAAAGTATGAAAAAATGATATCAGTAGATGTAAAAAAGATTTTTCTTTTCAAAAATGTCAAAATTTAGCAATTTTATAACGTGTGCTGCCCATATTTTGCGATAGTCTGCGGGGTCGTTCCGGGCCTGCTAAGGTCAGCTTCACTTGGATCGTTTAAGACACCTAGACATCATTCATTGCAAAACAAGGTATTGCTAGAATGGAAATTAATTGCTAAAAGTTATAGAATAGTTTTTGTTTCGTAAAAATGAGCAAAAAAATGCGTATGGGGATAATAAGTGACAGCGTCTTTTGAGGTATCACCTTTTTGGTGCCGGCATAAGAGAGCTTGGACGAATTTATGGCAAATTCTTTGTGAATAATATTAAAATGAACAAAATAAACAGTTATTGTCTTTTTGATGCCTTTTTCCCATCTGAATTACACAAAAATTGATTTTTTGTTATTTTACTCGAACTCATGGCAGTAAGATATCTTAACTTGTAATAAATCGACCGAAGGCATTATTTTGTGCTGCATATTATTCATTAAATTTTGTATTAAAATAAATTGAACATCAAAATCGTTTTTGTCATTCGGCAATGAACTTAACCAGCAACAAATACATTTCTAAAAAATAAATATATTCTCAGACTAGACAACGCTGTCTCGCGCGCTTTTACGCTTGCTTTTACGCGAACGCGCCGGGTTAGTCTCGAGATTTGCGCGAGTTATTGTAAAGAAGTATAATTTCGTGGGGTAATTTAAGAGTTAAATGTTCATGTGCAATTTTTCTCGTTTTTTTTCATACTCAACAATACGATTTTTGTTTAAAGGCTGAGATACTGAGTCTGAGACTCATTCGACTTCGACCATCTTCGTTCAAGGAATCTGAGGTGGGATTGTTCATGTCAATTTTTGTAACAAGCTCAGGTAATGGTAATACTTAACATAAACCATGTGTTTTGTCTTAACTTCTCTCCTTCTTGATTATACCTTCACTTCTACCTAGGCTAAGAAACTGATATTCAAGGGTAGCTGCTTTCACACTAGTAGCCTTCTGGTGGGTTCAGATTGTTTTCTTGCATTTAGTTATGATATGTTCTTGGATTTCCCCTGTTTAAATTAGGCAAATGTGAGTATTAATATTTATATAGGTATACATCATTATACTTGAGCAATGGCAATGTAGCCTACCTGCTTATTAAGTAGATACGAGATTGCATGGGTATTCATTAAGCAGGCGTCTCACGAGATGCCAGATTTGAAACATAATCTAACCTGATCTAACCTTGCCTGCTAACCTACAACCTACAAGCCTAATACCTACAACCTACAAACCTACAATCTACAAACCTACAACCTACAAACACTGCCTGCCTAGGATGCCAGGATGCGACACTGCCTAGGATTTAGGGTTCCTTACATCCACAAACCTACAACCTACCTTGCTATTGTAGACAGATCTGGCATCTCGTGAGATGCCTACTTAATGATTACCATTGCTTGTTGGTCATGTACAAGTGTTTCACTTTGATATATGCTGCATTTCAACATTGTCTGCCCATTATGCTAAAAAGAAACTGATATAATGCGGTAGCTGCATTAAAAATTTGGAACCGTTGAGTTCCAACTTTGTTCTGCGACCTTTTCAAAATTTTAGTCTGCGAACTTAGATCCCCAAACCACTTTTCTGACACTGATCTAATGCCTACCGGCCGGCTACAAGACCCTCCACACGCCCCGAATGAAAACTGAGACGCGCACGCTGATCACGTGACGGGCAGAGTCGGCGGCGCGGGAGGAGGCGAATACGAGAAGTCTGGAGGGGAGGGGCGGAACAGGGAGACGTAAGTGAAAGCTGCAGTGACACGTGGCGGTGGCAAGTGACAGTTGCCGTGACACCAAGTGACGGGCGACATTGATTTGTAGAGCGATGGAGGTAGTTACGCTAGTAACTTAGACATTTTCTGACTTAGACATTCCTGTCATCTGAAAACATTTGAAACGGGTAGTGTCGATGGTACTTTATTATTTTTACGTTGTTTCAATCAGGACTACGAAATTGATAGATTTTCGGTGATTTCGACACCGACTCCAGGCTGCCAAAAATCGACTCCGCCTCCGTGCAGAGGAAGAGCTGTCGACCCGCAGCCCTGGCAGGTATGCGTAGGTACTCGATGAATTTTGACTCCAACTCAATTGTTCAAAATTTTACTCCGATTCCGACTCTTACTCCGCAGTCCTGGACTATATCAGTCATGATCAACATCAACCCTCGTTATAGCTGCTGGCGCACTTACGCAATCGAATCTTCCCTTTCAAGTGAGAAGCTCGAGCTTTCCCACCCGCGCGCATTTCCAGACCGTCAGTTCCCGCCGGCGACGCATCTCGTTCCTGCGCGCTGATTGGTCGGACGGTGGACCGTCTCCAAGGGGGCGGGGCTTGGCCGGCGGCGACTGCGGGCGACGGGGGAGGTTCTCACGGGACCGAGTGGCCGCAGCTCCGCGAGGTGGCGTCGGTTCGTTAGTTGTGATCCAGACTTGAGGGAGGTCGGATGGTATCGTGGGTGGAGTCGGTGGTGTGCGTTGTGCGTGCATTTGTTGCTCGGTGGCCAGTGATCGGTCATCAACACACTCACGGGTGCAGCAATCTTAACTCGTGAGTAGTCCACTCCTTCATGTCCGGTCTCAGTCTCGGCGCAATTATTTTTGTATTGTTAAGTGACCCCAGCTTGTATTTGCCGGATATCATTTATTGAAAAAGATATCCGTTCATACTTGTATTGGCTTCATGCAATGATTTTGCTGTTGGTTTACAGCATTTATCTCTTCTTGCGTTCGCCAACCAGGCAGTTAAATTCAGTATTGACTGTTATTCGGACCAGCACAGCTACATAACCTCAGGGATTGACCCGCGCGGTCTGCCCTGTACCTACCATTGGTGGCTCGGGGGCATGGTGCGTTCGGAGCTGGGCAGAGGGCGTCCGGGAAGGAGAGTGGGGGACGGGAGAGAGTCGGGGAGCCCGGAGCAGTGTAGTGGTTGCCGGGCAGAAGAGCGCTGTGCGACACCAGGACACCAAAGGTAAGCCAACCAAGCTGCCATTGGATTTTTTTCCTAGCCCGCGCCCTGGTGTGGGTCTGAGCCACCTTCGCCCTGGTGGGGGGGGGGGCCAAAATGACCCCCCCGTCTAACTCGAAAACGAAGAGGGCTAGGAAGACGCGGAAAAAAGCAAACGAAAGCCCATAACAAGTACGTTCGAAAGTATTTCAGTCATTTTTTCGCTAAGGTCAATATTGAGGTCGCTAGAGGTCATCATAGGTCAAATTTCAGTGTTTTCGGTGTTGCCGGACATATTCCGCTGTAGCTCGGAAACTAGAAGAGCTAGAGAGCCGCGGAAAAAAGCAATCGATAGCTCTTTTCAAGCTCTTTCGCCAAGGTTCGTCAGATTTGACCTCAGCTCAACGGTTTGGCCCACAGAGGTCATGCAAGGTCAACTTGGCAAATTTCGTTGAAAATGTTTTTAACTATAGCATGCATTCACGAGAAAATAGAGAAACGATTCATGCACCATCGTGCTTGGCTCGTCGAGACGCGTCGAATGATATATAGTTTGACCTCGAAAGGTCATTTTGAAAATTTGACCTCAGGTCAAGGTCATGACCTTACCGAAATAGGTCATGCTGCATATCATTCGATCCGCATTGACGAGACAAACACGATAAACGTCGAACGGAGTCTCTATCTCTATTCAATAACAAGTAAGTGCAGAAAAACCGCTGGTGACCTCTGGTGACCAGGGAGATGACCTAGCGTGACCTCAGCGAGGTCACAAGCAAATGGTTTCACATGGGCTGTGATTTGCTGACCCAAGACACTTCAATAACGAAATATAGGAACAATCACGCCCGATTTAGCTGAAAAACAACTACTTTTCGATTCTCCCATTGACTTATAATGGGGAGCAGCGATGACCTGACCTGACCTTAGGTCACATTTATAAAAAATCCGAGATAGCCATTTTGTAGAGCTGGGTGACATCTTCAAGTACTGTAAATTTTACATCGATCGGATAAAAGCTGTGCCTTTGAGAGAGCTTTGAACTTTTTTAGAGGTGGTGTCAGTTTTGGTGACCTTGTGACCTGACCTGACCTGACCCGAACCCCCCAAAAAAGGACATGATGTAAAAATGTTGAATAAACAGCTATACAAAGTTTCAGGGCG